GGGGGAAGCTCCCAGATGAGGTTCCGTGACCTAGGCCAACAGGTCAGGGAAGTCGTGCTCAACAGCCGGGGTGTGGGTTTTTACAGGGGTGGTCAGGCATGTATGGCAATTATGGCAATTAGCATATGGGGGCTGGACACTCTGAGAATTGCTTGTCGACTCCTTGCGGCTTTCTTCGAACCCGGAGCATCTGGTCTCACCAGTTTAGATACTAGTTCTTAAAGAGATAATACATGTAAGAGTTTAAAATAAAGAGTATGGCCCAAAGACAAGATAAACATAAATATAGGGCATTTGTGGGCTTAGCAAAAAATGTAAATATTGGGGCCATTACTAAAGAGACTCATAGAATATACTCTGTAGTAATACCTAAAATGGCTAAATTGCAAGATACTGCATAAAAACTGAGTATGAAATTGTACCCAATGTGAATTGGGGGTGAGGTGGGCATGGAGACCCAAAGCCCTACTGTAGACAATTGGACATCCCTTCACAGAAGGGTCACAAGGAAGAGATGAGCCAGTCAGGTGCAGTAACGTACCGATGAAACACACAACTTTCCTCTAGTTCCTTAATGCTTCCTTCCCCACCCTGTGACCTCAATTCACCCTTACAAATCAGATGAGACCAGAAGATTCACACTGCTATACGTAATAGCTGAATTACAGGGAATCGGAGAGATAAACCTCTCAGGGCCAACAATGAGAATAGAGATACCAGGAGGATAAGGGAAAGGTGGGGGGAGGGGATGGCGCATCAATCACAAGGATCAATATATAACCCCCTTCAAGGGGGACAAACAACAGAAAAGTGGGTGAAGGGTGACAGAGGATGATATAAGTTATGAAAATCATCTATAACTTATCAAGGGTTCATGGGGGAGGGTGGGTGGGCTAGGGAGGGGGAAACATAAGGAGCTGATATCAAGGGCCCAAGTAGAAAGAAAATGCTTTGAGAATGATGGTGGCAGCATGTGTACAAATGTGCTTGACACAATGGATGATTGTGTGGATTGTGATAAGAGATGCAAGAGCCCCTAATAAAAGTATTTCATTAAATTTTTTAAATGAGTATAAAAGAACAGAATTGTGGCCAGCATGCCACAGAGAATTGTTATGCAAATATATGACTCTATAAATCAATAAAACCAAGCTCAATGTGCAAAAGAAACAATGAAATGAAGATGATACACAGAAGAAATTTTTAAAAGAGCCAAGCACAAGAAAAATGTTTATTTTCACTATATATCAGAAATAAAAGGATAAACAAGACTTTGGGAACCTCAAATGTGATGCAGATGAGAGAAGGGCAAGGTATAATGGCATTTGAAATCGGTAGAGCAAAAAAATACTTTGGTAATAGCTATCAAATGTTAACATGAACAACTCAATAAATGGTAATTCAAGACTATCATATATTTGCTATTTTCATAGTCTGTGTGTTAGACAGGGTTGACTATAGAAACAAATTTAGAGACACTCATATACGTGTAAGAGAGTGCTTTATATTGCATATCGAGAAACATCCCATCCTAGTCCACATCGAGTCCATCAGTCCGATATTAGCCCATATGTCCGATACTAGTCCATAAACTTCTCTTCAGATTCATGCAGCACATGCAATGATGCCGAATGCAGGAAGGTCACAGGGAAGTGAGTGGAAAGTCTTGTGGATCCAGGGAGGGTATAGGCATCTCCACACTGGCGCTGGTCTCCACGTAGCTCCTCAACAGAAAGGTGAAGCAGAGCAAGAGAGGAAGTTCCCAGAGTCCTCATGAGAAGGCCATGCCCTACTAAGAGGCAACATTAGGCTGTGATCTGATCGACAGGCAAGACTCCACCCCTTCACTCTTAATACCCTCCTGTTGACACCAGATGAGGTAACTACCACACTCTCTTTACTAGTTTATGACCTAGATTAGTCTAGCAGGCATAGTTCTGCCATTTTGAATGAATACTATTATAATTTTCTCCAACTTTCGTTAGTTTGGCAGATGGTGTATAGACATTTAAGTTTCTAATCTGTTCAAGTCTACAAGTTCTGCGTTTTGGACTCATTTTTAATTTGTTCTCGTTTTTTTGTTATTTTCTGCTCTTTTTAAAATTGAGGTCTTTCTCTTTTATTCGGTGATAGTTGGTGGTGGTGGTGGTGGTGTGTGTGTGTGGTTTTGGACTGTGAAGTCCAGAATGGATAAACCTACAGAGACCGTCACTGGCTTAATAGTTTCTTATGGTTATGGCAGGGAAATGGGGAGAAAACAGAGAGCTACCAATAACGAGTACAAGATAGAAAAAGTATTCTGAAATTGACTGTGGTGAGGGTTACACAACTCTTTTTAATATGTTTGAACCATTGGATTGTATGACATGTGAGTTACACAGCAATATAACCACCAAAATTAAATTTTTAAATGCTCCTAGTCCAGTTCTGGTCCTCGGTTACACAAAAATGAATTATATGTTTGAAACTGTTGTTCATTCTGTTCTCAGAAATAATTAGGTTGAATCTTTATACCCAAACCCCAAACCAAGATCACTGCAATTGGGCCGATCCCGACCCATAGCAACTATCTACAGAGTCTCTGAGGCTGCACATCGTTAGGAGAGCAGAAAGCACCACCCCTCTCCCTGGGAGTGGCTAGTGGGTTTGAATCGTCCACTGGCAGTTAGCATGTTTACAGCATGACACCGGCTGAGCTCTTTAGAATCGGGACACCGGACTCGCTGCCATCATGTCAATGAGGTCAACTCACGGCCACCCTTTAGGACAGAGTAGAACTGCCCTCGGGGGTCTCTGAGACACTAACTCTTTACAGCGACAGAAACCTCATCTATCTTCTCCCGGAGCTGCCGTCGGTTTTGAATTGTTGACTTTGAGGCTAGCAGTCCAACGTGTCAACACTATACCACATAGCGACACAGGGAATACTCGCAAGATTATTTCGCCAATTAAAAATGAGTATTGCCTTAAAAAGATAGGTACCTTATTATTCTGCTTATTTAGAAATAATGACTTGCATACACATATATGAGTTGACAAATGGATGCTACTGTTACGCAGTAGCCTAGAAATGTTTTAAAAAGTTATAGAACGAGCGCATGCCCTACCACACACGAGAACATTGTGTAAAGCCACAGAAATTAAAACTCTTGACTCATTTAGAATCAAATGCATAGCCTAGCTTTCTATTTACACATGACATAAATGATACATGCGTGAAAATGTGTATTTATAAATTATGTGTATGCCGAGAGAAGGTATGCATTTACATATATTAGAATAAATTGTTGCTAATGGTAAACGTCAAAAAGAAATGGGGAAGGCATGTTTTGTTTGTTTGAGATTAACTTGTTTGTCACTGAAGACTCCAAGTCCCTTTCCATTTTAATCCCCCCCCATTTCCCCCCCCCCCTTTTTAAGCCATTTAAATCACTGTTCAGGTTTTAGGGGATAAGGAACCTGGAGGGATTTTTAAAAATCTGTTTGTTTTTAAAGAAGCTTCCTATAGCTATATATTACATAGCCTATTTGAAGGCATTTGAGAGTAACTTCATAATTTACTTTTATAATAAGCATATAGGACGTGTATAATTAGAAACATAAAATTATTTTAAAACAGCAGTAAGTGAAGTATGACTATCATTTGAAATCTTACTAGGAGACTTGCCAAAAAATAGATTCTCAAGAAATGATATGAATTGAATCATGAATCCAAGTTCACATATTCTAATACACTCATCTCTTTATGTTTTGGTGATATTGTTATTCATCGTTCAGCATGTGTCTGCCAGGTGGGTGGCAGAATCCTATAACTTACTCTTTATCTCTTTGCAGGATTCGCACTGGGACCCTCCATTGTCATCCTCCTGAGTGGCTTCATTTGTCTAGTCCTTGGGTGGCCCTTTGCCTTTTATATCTTTGGTAAGCTGCTAACTTTGTTTTCAGGTTTAAGTATGCAGAAAGATGCTTTGGCGTATCTATGTGTATTTCTTTTGAAGGAAACTAGTCAAGCAAGAAGAATCCTAGAGTAATCCTAGAAAACTAAATTGGTGAATATATTAAGAATAATTCTCCTATGCCATCTAGAGTCCAAGGATAGGCTCTTACCTTGTATTTGACATAGAGATCACACGTTGTATGCAGTGGTTGTGAGAGATGGAAGGAAAAAGTCAAGAAATATAGCTGCTGCTTGGGTTTCCCTCACGGTAGGCCAGCCAACGAAGGGGCCCTGAGGAAGACTTAAGCTCCCTACAAGCACTGAATATCTGGGACAGAAGACTTTACAGAAACAAAGAGAAGGAGGGGTGAAGGAACGAGTTTACCAATTCAGAGAAATGTGAAGAAAAAGTTTTAATATACGGAGAGACAAAACAAAAACCATAATAAAATAGTAAACGTAAGTCCAACTTTATCAAGACTTATGTTCAATGAAAACTATGTTGGGGCGCTGATTTAAAGACAGAGAATTCGGATCGGCTAAAAACACAACATACTATATCCTGTTTTAAATTGGAAGGCATGAACAGATACAAAATAAAACAGTGACCAAAAATGGACGCTGAAACATTCATCAAGGGAAATAAGGCAGGATGTGTGCGCATCAGACAAAGATGAATTCTGAACAAGGAGCATTACCCAGGAGAAAACTGGCATATAAAGGTAAAGTGTTAACTCACTCAGAAGGTACAATGATACATTATGTGTATGCACCTATATTAGTCTAGGTACTTTGGAGAAACAAATCCACAGCAACTCATGGATAAGAGAGAGTTTTATGTAAAGAAAAGGTGCATCACGAAAACATCCCAACCCAATGCTGCCCAAGCCCACAAGTCCAACATTAACCCATTAACCCAACACCAGTCCACAAAGTCCTCCACCTCACAAAACAGAGGCAATGATGCCGACTGCAGGAGGAAAGCTGAGTCAGTGAACAAATACTCATCTTAGCACTAGCAGGGGTCTCCACATGGCTGCTCCAGCACCCAGGGCTGCATCGGGATAGGTCCATGTAGCTTCTCCCTGGGGATGTCTTGTAGGAAGTCAATCTCGCAAGCTGAAGCAGGGAACTGCTAAGGCAGGTGCACCCAGTGCAACCATCACAAAACAAGAGACCCGAGAACTAGAAAGGCGAGGCTCACTACCCATTTATCACTCCGCCTTTCAATTAGCCCCACATGTGATTATCGGCCAGGTTGGCACAATTAACTAACTCAGCACCTAACAAGAGTTTCAAAATAAGACAAAGCAAAAACTGACCCAAGTGCAAAGAAAACTAGACAAACCCATAATCCACAGGGAGAAATAAACCTGTTTTCCTCTCTTGTAGTAATCAATGGAACAAGAAGACAAAAATCAAAAGGAATATTAGAAAACCTAAAAAATAAAAATAAAAACAACCCTAGAAATGAACTTTGCCCAAGTGAAATGTATCTGCAGTGTTGTTGTTAGGTGCTGTGGAGTTGGGTCTGACTATAGCAACCTCATCTACAACAGAACAAAAAATACTGCGAAGTCCTACCATGATGGTACAGTGCTTAAGCCTTTGACTGCTAACCTGGAAGTCAGTGCTTTGAACCTATCTGCTTCTGCTTCCATAAAAATAACAGCCACGGAAGCCCGTATGGACCAGTTGTGCTCTGTCCTATAGCATGGCTATGCACCTGCAATATACAGATGATATCTGCGACATGCAAATGACATGCGTTGGACTCAACTGGACAACAATGGATTTTTAACCCTTTGCAAAGGTAGACAATATTCTGGTTCGGAAACAAACGAGTCCATTTAAAGTAGTGGAAAATTATGCAAAGTGTGCTCTTTGATCATAATGAGATGAAACTAGAACCAATACGTGAAAGCCGTCTGGTGACGTCCCTTGAATATGTCTGATTGGGTCAAAAAAATCACAAGATAAATTTCCAAATAAAACGAATTGAAAATGAAACTTGATCTATCAAAAAGCTATAGGTTGCAACTGACCGATCTTTAGGGAGTGGTTTTTGGCCTTGAATACTCATTAGAAAAAAACTCATTCACTGCTCTGAGTCAATTCTGACTCCTAGCAACCCAAAGGACTGGGTAGAATTGGGCCTGTGTGTTTCTGAGACGGTAATGCTTTTCAGGCGTAGAAAGCATCGTCTTTCTCCCGTGTTAGAACAGACTAAAAGGCCCAAGTTAATGGTCTAATCTCACACCTTAAGGACCAGAAAACGAAGGGCTGATTAAACCCAAATCAAGTGAAGGAAATAACATCGAGCAGAAATCAATGGGTTCTAAACAATAAGAAAGAAAAGCAGTGTTGTGGTTAGTTCGTGCTGCTAGACTCACAAGTGGCTGGTTTTAACCATCAGAAATGTATTGTCTTTTGGCTGTTTTGTTTGCTGTTCTTGGGTGTCATCAAGTGCGTTCCAATTCTCAGGGACCCAACAAAGAACTCCGCCCAGTCCGGTGACATCTTTAAAACTGTTGTTATGCCGGAGCCCGTTGTTGCCTCTATTATGTCAATTAATCTTGTCAAGGGGTTTGCCTCCTCTCTGCCAGATATAACGTCCTTCTCTTGGAGCTGGTCTGTCCCAAGGGCATGAAATGAGGTCGTGACATCCTCCCTTCTAAGGAGCATTCTGGATATACTGCTTCCAAGACAGATTTGTTTGCAATCCACGTTACTTTCGATCTTCTTCACCAGCACCATAATTCACATGCGCCGATTCTTCTCTGGTCGTCCTGGTTCAAGGTCCGACTGTCACACTCGCATACGGCCATTGAAAAGACCACGGCTTGGGTCAGGCACACCTTAATCCTCAAAATGATATTGTTGCTCCTCAATACCTTAAAGAGGTCTTCTGTAGCAGAATTACTCAATGCAAAATGCCATTTGATTTCTTAACTGTTATTTCCATAAGCACTGAGCGTGGATCCAGGCAAGATGGAAATCCTCGTCAACTTCAGTCTTTTCTCCATTTATCATGATGTGCCTCTTGGTCTAGCTGTGCATTGAGTTAGAACCCATACTGAAGTCCTTGAACTTCATCAGCAGCTGCTTCAAGTCCTCCTCACTTTCAGCCACCAAGGTGTGTCATCGACATATGGAACGTTATTATAAGTGTTCCTCCAATTCTGATGTCATATTCTTCTTCATAGTCTAGTTTCTCAGATTATCTGCTTAGTAAACAGATTGGGTGAGTTAGTTTTGTTCTGTCGCACACAGGCCAATATGAATTGGAACTGGATTGATAGCACCTAACAGCAACAACAACTTTTGAACATGTGGATTTTACGGTTGCTGAAACTATATCCACGGGTGTGGTCTAGCACACAGAGAGCAAAGTTTGAAAAAAAAACCACCTCAGACAAAAACACTTTGAGTGGACATAAATGACAAATACCTTGAGAAAGTGAGTCACGGGACCTGGGAACTCAAGACCATTGTCTCCGGGGACACCAAGGTCGATTGGTCTAACATAATTGCGGTGGTTACGTAATCTGCTGTCAATGAGAGAGTATTAAGAGTGAGAGGGTGGAGTCTAGCCTGTCAATCAGGTCACAGCTTGAAGACCTCCTTTGGAGGTACCACGGAGATAAATAGCTCACTGGAGGCCAGATACACAAAGGCTCACTCCCTGTGAGACATTACTGAAGATGAGCCTCCTGTCTCATGGTCCATGTACAGGTTGCAAATGAATGTAATGAAGTGCTCTGGAATTCCCAGTCTTCTCAATACTATCCCCAGTTTGTTACGAGCCACACAGTTGAAAACCTTAGTATAGTCAATAAAACACAAGTGAACATCTTTCTGGTATTCTTTGCTTTAACCAGAGATTCATCTGTCATCAGCAATGATATCACTTAGGCTACGCTCTCTTCTGATTCTGACTTGAATCTCCGGCAGCCAATGTTGAAGGATCTTAGGCAAAACTTTACTTTCATGTAATATTAATGATATTGCTTGGTAATTTCTATATTCTGTTGGAGCACCATTATTTGAAATGGGTACAAATATGGATATCTTCCAGTCAGTTGGGCAGGTAGATGTCTTGTAGACTTCTTGGCATATGCATGTGAGTGCTTCCAGGGCTTCATCAATTGTTGAACATTTCCCATGGTATCCCATCAATCCTGGAGCCTTGTTTTTCCTCTAATGCCTTCAGGACAGCTTCGTCTTCTTCTTTCAATACCATTGATCCTGATCATATGCTACCTCTTGAAATTGTTGCACGTCAACCAATTCTTTTGATACAGTGACTCTCTGTATTCCTTCCATTGTCTTTTGATGCCTCCTGCATCATTCAATATTTTGTCCATAGAATCCTTCAGTATTTCAACTAGTGGTTCGAATATTTTCTTCAGTTTTTCAGCTTGATATTTGCTGGACATATTTTTTTTTCTTTTTGGTTTTCTAACTTCAAGTATTTGCACATTTCCTTATAATACCTTATTTTGTCTTCTCATGCTGCCTTTTGGAAATTTCCTGTTCAGCTCTTTTCCTTGATCATTTCTCCCATTTGCTTTCAGATATGATTAAGAGCAACTTTCAGAGGAGTTTCTTCTGACATCCACTTTAGTCTTTTCTTTTCCCTCGTCTTTTAAATGACCTTTTAACTTCTTCGTGTATAACTTTTAAAAGGTCTTCTGTCATTAGTGTTCCATGCTTCAAATATATTCATGAGATGTTGAAATTCAGGTCAGGTATACTCAAGGTCAGACATACTCTTGAGAACGTATCTTAATTTCCTCCAACTTCAACCTGGACTAATAGCTAAGCAGTTGGGAGTATCTTTCACAGTTAGCCTCATTTTAGTTGGGGATATTGAGCTTCTCTAACACCTCTTCTCCCAGATGTGGTCTCCTGTGTGTTTCAGGTGAAGTCCAGATGTATATTCGCTGTTCATGTTAATGAAAAAAGGTACTTGCCACCAAGA